TAAGAAAATAGGAATGAAAGTACCTGTGTCCGGGGAAGGAAACTAGAAGTACGTGCTCAGTCCTGGTTTGTAGTGCCCAGATAGAGCGCCGACATTCAGAGACCAATAAGCCAGCCCCAAAGACCCAGGTGCTGTTAGGTGCAACACAGTGTGTAAAGTGGGCCTTGCCATTACCTGCCTCAAGTAAGATCCCAAACTTAGCTGACGCTCTATGGGTTGCAAGTTAAGATCCAAGCTCTTCAACTTTGCCATTAATCAAGCCCCAACCTACATCTCCAACGTAAACTGTAGTTCTCTTTACTGTTGCGTAACTCCTACCCTCCTCTGGAAGAGAGCATGACACTATTTCCATTCCATACGGTGGCAGACAAGAAGCTTCATAATGTGGGGCCAATGCACCTCTGCAGCCTCCTTGCCTGGTAATTGCTGCCATATCTGCTGCTGCTCACACTAAAGGACTTACCTTTCCTACACCCTATGGGTTTTCATGCTCTTACGCCTCTACACAAACTGTTCCCTGTGCCTAGAATATCTCTGCCTGGTGAGCTCTCCTCCCACCCCCACCGCCTGCTGAACTTATTCATCCTTCATGATAAGCTCAGAATCTCCGCTCCCACAACTTCACAGAACTTGAGTTTTGTCTCCCTGTGCTGCTCTCTCGGCAGAAATGCTGGACTCCAGGGAGTAGGTAAAGACTGATCTTGTGGATGCAGTTTTTCTCACAGTTCCATACATACTTTATACCACTTTGATTTTCAGTGGGGATGAAAAAGACATAGGGGAGAAAGCTATTGCTTTCTGAATACCAAAAGCTGTTTTCCTCAATTTCTCAGAAGTTCTCACTCTCTCCCACATGACAGCCACACTAAGCAACGAGGGCCTTGAAAAATGTCAGTACTGCATATGATTTTACACCAGCTTGTGCTACTTGCATATTTCATGCTTGATCATTTCCCCAGCTGGCCTGTCAACTCTTTTAGGACAGGGGTAGAAGAGCCTGAGCTTTGCTGTCAGATCTGAGTTCCAATCCCATTTATGAGCTCTGTGACTCTGAGCAGATTACTTAACTTTCCTCTGAAGAGTTACTGGAGGGCAGCATCTCTGTCAGTATCTGACACATAGAAGACCTTCAGGATAAAGTGCAGACACTGACCTGGCCTATCGATCACTTCTCCTGCCTCACTGAAACACACTCTCCCATTTGCTTTCTAAGCTCTTTCAGAATGTGCTGTGGTCCTGTCGCTAAATCCCAATTTTTCCTTCCCCTGTCACAAGGTTGACTTTTATTCATTCTTCAGATCCTAATTTAGCTCTCTAAACTGCAAAGATGTAACAGAGACCATGGCATGGCCTTCAATGTTCTTCCCCCTTCTTCTTTGGACACATACCTCCTCTCCAACCAGAGAGGACTTTAGCGGGGCTTACAATTGCCCAGAAAGATGAGCATGCTTCCCAGTTTTTCTTACAGGTAGGTATGACTCCGTGACTTATTTCTGGCCAATGAAATGCCAAATAGTTTGGGAAACATTTCTGAAAAGGACTGCTGACATGATGCCCACTACTTTCTATTTTGAATTCCCCACTTTCCTTCTGGCCGAAGTGCAGACATGATAACTGGAGCCACAGCAACAATTTGGGGACCAAGACAGAAGCCTGGGTGCCTGGGAAGTCTTTGTGGACCAGAGTTGTTGTATCAGTCTTTTCTCCAGACTCCTCCAAAAGGTCAAAATGAACTTCTATCTTGGGTAAGTTCATGTCTGTCTTGGGGTCTTACATTCAAGCAAACGTAGACCTGACTGCTTGGCTCTTCCTTGCTTCCAGCAGCACCCTGCATGCCACAGTGAATAAGGCTGTTTGTGCTACTTTACTCCATCTTGGTATCTCTAGCCTTTGGATGATTTATTGCAGGTGTTCAGAAGATTTTGTGCAAAGAATGAATTGGGGCCGGCTCTGTGGCACAGTGGTAATATACTGCTCAGCAGAAGCTAGAGTTTTTTTTAAAAAAATATTTTATTTAACTATTATTATTTTAGTTTGATCAGAGAAAGACACATACATACACACACACACACACACACACACACACACAGAGAGAGAGAGAGAGAGAGAGAGAGAGAGAGAACGTGAGAAAGTCAGAAAGCAAGCTGCTGGGTCCAGGACTCAAATCATGGTCAGCCATGTGGGTCTGGAGTCTTTAACCACCACCTGCCAGCCCCCAGATGCTAGATCGTAATGTGATGACCACGATTTGAATTCCCAGCCTGGTTACCTAAAACATGCTGAGTACGTTTAAGTGTTTAAGGTCTGGAGGACTGGAAGGAGGAGATTGTGGTATGCCTAGACCCTGTGGAGGGTATTCCCCTCTCACTGCAATGTGTGCATATATGTACTCTGCCATGAATAAAGAAAATCACATTTAAAACATTTTTAAAAAATGAGTAAAGAGAAGTCTGTGGACTAGATCCCAATAATATAATTTCCTACCCCTTGTGGCTGTGAAGGTCAAATGAAAAAAAAAAAAAGGCTGTTAAACTGTAGTTCCCCTTTTTTCTACCTTTCTCTACTGATCCTCACCTCCAGGCTGGGCCTCCTTATGTCATGACTTTATTTATGTTGTTTCCCTTCCTTCTGGGCTCAGAAGACTCTACTGCAAAAATGATCAGTTCTATTCTAATTTCAGCATCCACTATGAGTCTACTTCTCACTACTATCTCTTCAGTTCACAGGAATTTCCTCCTCCTCTAGCTCCCTGGAAAGGCTTTCCAGGTAAATGGAACAGCATAAGCAAAGGCAATGGGATGTTACACGTCACGGAGCATTGAGGAGTTGCCATCATTTGGTCTGGTTGGAGGAGGTAGGTGGGCTGCTCTGACAAAGAGGCCAGGAGGTGAGCAGTCCATTTCTGCATATGTTACTCTCAGGCCTTACCTAGTTATTAAATGGTCATCTGCCTTTGTGCTTTATCGTCAGGAGCACTAAATATTATAGTCAACAATACTGTTACAACTTCTAACTACTGAGGAAAAATTTTTATTGCCTTGTGTTCTTAGGCATAGCAATGTGGTTTATTCTCAATAACATTATTGCAATATTTGTGCCTATAAAACATTATAACAAATGCAATAACAGAATGCCTATAAAACTATGTTTATTTTCTTTTTCTTTCTTTCTTTTTTTTAAAAAAAAACAAGCTCTGGAAAGCTTGTAAGGGAAAAATGTTGCATGATTTACTTTTCACTGGTCTGTTTGGGCATACTTCTAATGATATCGGAATCACCTGGATCAGTGATAGCCAGTGTGCATACTCTAGTGTTTTCCACATGCTGTGCCCAATTCAACATTATTTCCACTGCAGTGATAGACACCAGTTTTGGCCAACATGGCATAGTACTCTATTTCAGATTTCCTCAAAGCTGGGCAGTTGTTGGCGAGGATGTCCAACTTGGCTTTGCCTTGTCTGATCATCTTCAGAGTCTGCTTGTACCCCAGGACATACTTCCCACTTTTCGTAACAAGTTGGAGCCGAGAGTTGATCGACTCCAGCGACTTTTTCTTCTTCTTTGCGGCCACCATCTTCCTGCCTTAGGTGCGGGATGACCCCCAACCAAAAGCAGCCACCAAGATGGCCAGGAAGCAAGAAAGGCAAAACTATGTTATTTTCTAAAAAAGTAGTCTTTTTGTTTCTCTTGGGATGAGAGCCAGGTTCTTCTACAGTGATTGGTATGTTTACAGAAACACTGGTGTGTGCCTAGAGACCCAGTAGAGATTTTTGAATAATAATGTGCCAGCCATTCAAAGCTTATTAGGTCCACCAAGAGCTTGTGCTGGGCTGGAGTGCCTAGGATGACAAAATTTCTGTCCTTAAGGAGCTCACAGTTAATTTAGTGTGAGATATAGACATGTAAACACCACGGTAAGAGTTAGGCTGGAAGTATTTATAGTGTGAAGTGGAAAAGAAAGGGCATCTAAAGGGTCAGAACCACTTGATAACCACTTAAAAAAGTTCACTCTGGCACTCCTGGACTGCGCAGCTGGAATGGAGAAGAAACTGACCAGGAAGACCACTCACTGAACTTTTAAAAAGTTGATTTCTTCTATGAGAGACAGTGTACATGCACGCAACAGGTAGAGAGAGAGAGAGAAATACAGATACAGAGAAGGAGAGAAAGAGGGCACAGGGTCTTTGCACCATGGGCCACCCTTCGTCTCAGCTGACCTGGGTCCAGTTGTTACCTCTGCCACCGCCTGGCCCCTGAACATTCACTGTGTGCCAGATTCTGGTTTTCCTACTAAGGAAACAGTGGAGAACAAGACAGAAAAGTAACTGTCCTCTGAGTAAGGGAGGCAGACAAGCACATTTGCAGGTAGTCATAGGTGTCATGAAGAAAAATAAAGAATACGGGTGGGAAAGGTTACAGGAAAGGACAGGGAGCAGCCAGGATCGCGGAGCTGTCTGAGATAGGGTGTTGAAAAGGTGCCATCTGAGCAGAGATCTCCTGCCAGTTAGCGTGACAGAGACTGCTAACTGCACACCCACGAGATGATGGCGGGAGGAAAACACACATAAGACATTCTAAACTTGAGATGTCCATGAGACATCTAAGTGGAGATAAGGCGTAAGCAGACGGGTGTACCAAAATACACTTCAGAGACAGGTCTGAAGTGGTGATGGACATTTTAGAGTTGTGACCCAGGTTCGGTTGAGTGCAATTCAATTTATCGGGAGCTCACTATGTGCCAGGTGTCCTGCTGGGGCCTGGGGACACGGCGATGCACACAGCGAGTCGCAGACAGCCCTATGCAAGCCCGCGTGCAGCTCCTTAGGGGTCGCTCTCCTATCCGCAGCGAGATGGAGTGCGCAGAGCGATGACCACGCTCCGTGGAAGACCTGGGAGCAGGACTGAGGCTATGGCGAGGCTCAGGACCAGGAGCCGCAGGACGCGGAGTGAGCAGTGACGCATCAGGCGCGTCACAAAGAGCGTGGTAAGGGCGGCGGCGGCGACCCGGGCAGCTCTGGCCCAGAAGAGGGCCGGCGGCGGGAGGCGCCCCCACCGCGGGCAGGCGGCGCCCTCTGCAGGCCACAGGCGGCGACACACCGGTACCTCATTTTTCCAGTCCTCTTCTTTCCCGCCTTCTTCAGGCCACATTTTTGTCGTTGTCAGTGTTCGCCAGCCTATTTCAGCCTCCGACTTCCGCCCCTCCCCGCCACCTCCAGGCCAGGCGTGTCAGTGTCTTCGCGGGAAGACTGCCAATAAAGTTTTTCCTCTTCTCGCTCTCAGGCGCCCCGCCTCCACTCAAGTACCGCGAGATCTGGCAGCGCTGCCACCATGGCGGCCACGTTTGAAGCTCCGGCGGCCTTAGCGACCGTGGAGACCGCTACGCCGGCGGAATGTGTGGCCGCACAGGTCTCGGCCCAGGAGCCACCTCCGGGGCCGGTGAGGAGCCTGCGGACAGCTCACGACGTCAGCGGCCCGCGGACCCGCACGGGGGACGTGCTGCTGGCGGAGCCGGCGGACTTCGA